CACAGTGTTTTAAAATTGTAACATTGAACACTAATGTGTGTGACAATTGAATATCTGAAGCCATAAAATCCTTTGCAAGTTAAATGCCATCCCTTCATCTGGGCAGTAAACTAAGCCATCGTGGTAATTTACTGTGAGTACAGCAAACTCCAGCACAGCCCACAGCATTTTCATGGCTTCAGAAAAAAAGCTAGAGAGCAAGCTTCTTTTCTGTCCCTGTTCAGCATTTACCCTTTAAATATAGCAAATTCATATGATTCAGGCCAATAATTAATAAGTATGAGCTTTAAAGAACTGTCTTTGGAATGAATACATGAATTTCTCAATTCACTGTTCATAGTAGATGGACTGGCATTGCCAAAAAATCGGGGTGTTAGGGTGGTTTTCGTTATGATTGCATGACTGGTTAGATGAATTAAAACATACCTAACCCTTCTTGGTGTTAGTTGAAGTGTTCACACAGAACAAAGCATAAGAGAAAAAAGAAAAACTGTGATGTCTCCCTCTACTGGTAGAAAGTAAAACCATCCCCACGTGAAAAGCCAGGAAGCCAGGGTGGTGGAAAGTTCAAGGCAGGACAGGTAGAAAGAGAGACAAAAACAAAAGGAGAAGACAAGAAAAGAGAGGGGCAAGACAGAGAACAATGAGAGAAAAAAAGAAAGTTAAGAAGAAAAGAATGGGTAAATCCAGAAAGAGAGGGAGCAAATTAAGTAGAAAGTCAACAGGAAATGGGCAAATAAGAATTAGAGGCAAAGAGTTAAAAAACAAAAAAGGTATAATCCAGGTATGGTAATGTGTGCCATGCCTGTAATCTCAGCTACTAGGGAATCTGAGGCAGAATGATGAGAGAGAGAGAGAGAGAGAGAGAGAGAGAGAGAGAATTTTTCATGGGTCTTGTCTATAGTGGCCCTAAATATATTGATCATGTTCCACCCTAAATTTCTCATATGGGAATCGGGACAAGGAAAACTTTTCAACCTACCACCTGTGGAATGGTTGGCACAGTGAAAATAAATGGTAAAACTCTGACTCGTTTTTTAAAAAAGCTAAACATCCCTGAATTGTGGGCTGGTGAAATAGCTCAGCAGACTGAGCACCTGCTTAGGCAAGCACAGGGACCAGGGTTCAATCCCCAGCACCACATGTCATACAGGCCCTGCCCCCAGACTCTCTCAGTCAGCCACTGAGACCAGGTATGGTGGCACATGTCTGTAATCCCAGCACTGGAGAGATTGAGACAAGAGGATACTATAAATCAGATCTGCATAGTGAGACCCTATGCCAAATACATTCTTTACAAAAATCTGGGTTAAAATAGTCATTTGGAAACAATGTCATAGTGGTTTAAATTAGATATTTTTACTTTAGTGGCTTAGGCTGAACTTTCTCTTTTATTAATTTTTTATTTTCACTGATATCCTCAAAGCTTTACCCATATGATGAACTAGAGAGCATTTTTAATCGGGTCCCAGCCAATGAGTTAACAAGTCCTAATCCAGTCCTGATAAAGCACCAATGAATGAGTACAGGAGTGGGCCAGGTCTAGAGGGGCCCATGGCTTATAATGGAGGCTTCCTTAGGAAAAAGAAACTTGAATTTGGGCCTTGGGAGGGGGCTGGGCCAGTCCTGGGCCCCACAGCTTCAGCTTCCTTAGCTTTTGTTATGGCTGTGGCTAGATCTCCCCCAAAGCCTCATGCAGTCATGGGGGTGCTCCTGCAGAGGTGGCTGACAGAGTGTGTGGTTGATGCCTGGTGTGAGGCTAGAGTGGAGTGTGCTAGGAGTAAGGGTGGGTGATTACTAAATCAGTGCACTGACTGCTTGGGCACCACCCTAATCCCAGTACCCTGGTTACAAGGTAAGGGACAGAAAGAGGCTTGGCTTTTTCCTCCATTGTTGCTTTGCTACCCTCTGCCTGCCATGACTTTCTCTTCTACAAGGCCTGTCTGCCACACCACCCTGCCTTAGAGTGAGCCAATTAGGGCCTGAAACTTCTACAAACTATGAGCTCAATAAATCTCTCCCCTTTTAATTTGGGGTGTTGGGTATTTTGTCTTAGCAACAAGAAAAGCAACTAAGACAGCTTCTAAGTGAACCTACTTTTTTCTAGGTCTGTGCTATTTGCTTGAAGCCAGCAAAGTAATGTTTGTAGCTGAAAGCCTCAAAAGACACATGGACCTTTGGAGCGAGCGTAAACTCTCAGGGACATCACTGACTTCCCTCTCTGCCCTGTTGGTAGTCACATTAATCCAGAATATTCTAGGGGGTGCCCATGGGCCTTGCTCATGGGTGGGAGGGAAGTGGTCAGGAAGGAGGAAAAGAATAGTTGATGGAGAAGCTCAGAGTAGAAAGATGGACGAGAGAGGGAAAAAGAAGTGGAGAAAGAGGAAGTGGAAGAAAGAGTAGCTGGAGCCTAAATCGCCTCATTTTTCTATCAAATGGCTTTAGAAATCTCTTCCAGCTCCAACCTCAACATTTTTCTATGCATCTGTAAGAGCAGGTCAGAAGCACTCAGCCTGATCCTAAAATAGAATTTCTCAATGAGTGTGCAATAAAAAAGATTTTCTTTAGATCAGTGGAGACAAGCAAATATAACTTGCAGTTTTCTCATTCCTTCAAGTTGGAAGGATTGTGTGCACAGAGTACCAGATGAGTGAGGACTCCAGAGGGGAAGGCTGACAGCAAGACTGCATCATCCAGAAAGGGCCACTGAACTGTGACCTGGAGCCCTGTGACCAGCTCACCGGCAGGGCCGCCTGGGGTCCATATTGATCCCCCGGAAGCTGGAGCATTGCAGCTTCACAGCCATTGCTCCAGGAAGAGTGCTAAGTGGTTATTTTCATAAAACAGTGGAGAAATGGCAAGCAAAGAGGCTGCTGTCCTGTCGTTCCTGGGGGAAAGTCTGGATGGAGCTTAGAGGTTGCTAGTGAGCAGGAGCTAGCCCACCTTGCCTACCACCCAGGCTGCAGCAGGACAGCCCCGCCCAGCTCCACCAAAGGAGCCAGGCACTGACCCAGCCTCCCTGAGAGGTTTACTGGCCCACCTTGAGAAACCGCCACTGAGGCAAAAGTGATCTGAATGACTCTCAGGAAAATGAATATATTCAGGCCTAATGGGCTTGACAGCCTGGTTCAAGCGCTTTACAATGGGTTTTATGTCTCCTCTGAGTACCTCCCCACACTTCCTCACCCTTCCCACCCTTGCAGGCCTCTCCCAGGGCTCCCATTTTGTTCATGGTCCATCCACTGCAAAGTTGAGGAGCATGAGAGAAAAGAAAGGACTCACCCTGAGACCAGCTTTCCCTCCTTAAGGCTCCCTGGGAGCTGGCTCATGCCTGGAACCAAGGCCTTTGAGCTCCTAAAGCCTGCTTGTTCCTTAGAGTCCACAACAAATTCAACTTTGTCATCTAGGCTCTGGTCAGGGAAGGAGCCAGCCAAGGTACACAGTAGGGCAAATTAAAGAAACACCTGGGGACCTGCAAGTTCAGGGAAACCCTCTTCCTGCTCCTCTAAGGTGGCTGATGCTGTCTGTTCCTTTGCCCTGCATCTGGAGCCGCATAGGCTAAACTGGGAGTGAGTGCCTCAGTCACAAGAGTAGGCACAAGGGGGAGTGAGCCAGGTGACATTAAGCACCCACTGTGTGTCAAATTCGCAGCAACAGGTTAGTTTTCAGTCAAAGGATCCCAGCTTCAAAGGCATCCTCTACTTTCACACATGAGGAGCTAAAAAAGCCCTCGAACCCTCCCCCCCCCCACACCCCCAGCTGTGAGATATCCATTTAGAAAGAGAGGAAAATAGATCTGTCCCAAGAATTTCTGGAGATAAAGGCAGGGCATCCAGCTTTCTGAATCTCAGTGATAAGGAACAGGGCAGGGTCAAGTTTAGCATTTCCACATCCTACGCATCTACCTATTCTGAGGCTTATGCATTTTCAAGGACAGGGTTATAGAGTGACTAGAGACTTATGCTGGGTATTTTGTCAATGATTAAAGTGAAACAAAGGATGCAAAATAACCATGATTGAACTTCAGAACACTTGAACAAAAAGGAACCCTCTTTTCAGATGTCGGCATTATCAAACCTCAGAAGCCAAATGATGCAGGGTTCTGGAAGCCCGTGGAAATCGAGCAGCAGGAGTCTAGGCTTTTGCAGAATAGTCTGATCCAGCCACTAAGGGCTTCTGTGATCCATCTGCCTTTTGTGTCTTTATTTGGCTAAGAAATAAAACTTGCCAGCTTTAAACATTCAGCTCAGTGGTACTGAATCATAGTTATGTTCTGTAGCCTCAGGTTGGCTACCCTCCACCTCTAACTTGGACATTTTCCCACACTGAAGCCCCCCATCAAACTGCACTTCTCAACCTTCTCCCGGTCCTTGGCTACCTCTCTTCTACCTTCTCTGCATGAGTCTGACTAGGTCCCTCATGTCAGTGAACCCAGACAGCATTTGTCATTTTGTATCTGGCTTATTTCCCAAGATTCATCCATATTATAATATGTCAGAATTTCTTCCCTTCTTGGGGCTTACCAATATTCCTTCCTATTTGGGTAGGGTACATTTTATTTATCCATTTATCCATCAGTGAACACCTGGGCGGCTTTCTCTCTTTGTGAATATTCCTGCTGTGAACACGGGGCCATTTCTATGCAGTATGGTAAAAATGGTTTTCAGCCTGTAAGCAGCAGTTGCCTACAACTGCTACAGGTGGGGAAAGTCTGTGACTCCATGGGTTGTTTTAAAATTGCATCTGTTAAGTTGTAGACGGAAGCCAGAGGCCTCTGTGGGTGACTGTGCCTTCAAGCAGGTGACTGGTGTCAGGTGTTGGTGTTTGCTATGTGCTGGGGGTCCCTCCGGATGCACTTGGGCTGCTGTCTGTGTGTCCTGCCTCTGCTTGACTGAGGTGTCACTAATATCTCTCTCTTCTCACACCCACCCTTCCCCACCCCACCGTCCCCTTCCCATCCCGTCTCCACTTTCTCTTTGCTGGCTCCTGCTGTTCTCCAGTGCGACCAAGACCAGTGTATTCAGAGCACCAAATTCGTTTTGCAGGCCGCAGCCACACCCCTTCTGCAGAGCGAGCCTAGCCTCACCAGCGATGAAATGCACCTCCCAGGGAAGCCAGGCCTGGGCACGCCATGCACCAGCCTGACACTGGGCCAGCCCACACCGCCCTCCTCTATGCCCAACCTCACTGCTGAGGCCACTCTCTCGGACATTCTCCCCATGAAGGATGAGCATGGGGGTCACCAGTTCCTGACTCCAGATGAGGCGCCCTCACCACCTAGGATGCTGGGGGCGGGCAGCCCTCTGACACACAGCCGTACCATGCATGTGCTGGGCCTGGCCAGTCAGGACTCTCTACATGAAGACTCTGTGCGTGGCCTGGTGAAGCTGAGCTCCGTGTGACCCACAGGTTGTCCTGAGACCACAGGGCTCCTCCACAGGCTGAGGGAGCCAGCAGAGGACATACCTGCAACAGGGAATTGACAGCCCCAGGCCTGGGGTACAAAGACCACAAAGAAAGCCAACACACCCCCATCTGATGGTGAAGAGCAGGGAGGCCCCAGATCCTCCAAGCTTAATTTTATTTGAAATTTCTTCCCCACTCTGAGCACTTTAACGAAAATGAACACACAGCGAAGTGGCTATCTTCAGGTATCTGGGCTCTGCACGGTGAGCCTGGGGGGAAGGACCCTCACCAGGTAGCGTGGAGTCTGGGAGGAACAGAAGCTGCCCGGATATTGCACTGTCTGTCTGCTGCTCCTAGGACAGACAAACAGAGGGTTCCTGATACTTGTGGCCAGACTGAAATTGCACTTAAGTGTTATGCTACTAATATTTGAAGTAGACATGCCATTCCATTGCTAATTTTTAAAAAATCCTACAGGGGAAAAAAAAAACAAACCTGATCAGATGTGGATTTGCATGCCACGCTACGGTCTGTGTTACAGTGGTGTTGGTATTCCAAAGGAAATGCTGCTTTCTTTTTTTTTTTTTTTTTTTTTTTTTTCTTTTTTCCTTTTTTTAATTTGTGAGTTTTCAAGTGCTGTTTTTGTTAAAAGACAGCAGGACAGGCCAAGCCTAATGGGCAATGCCACCACCTGCTGCCCAGCTGCATTTGACAAGGAGTGGCAGCACCTGGGCTACGAGGGCTGCAGGTTCGTCCTGTCCAGGACTGGTCAACCTTCTGTTCTGTAGTTAGATGAGGTATCGTGTTGTGCCGCCCACTGCAGTCTTCACCTCTTTGTGTGATGAACTTATCCCGGACAGCCAATAAAATGATGTCCTCTTATTTTGGATTTGTGTAGTTATCCTTAACAGCTTACACGAAAGCATAATCATCTTGATGGCCTGGAGAGTTTGGTTTTTTGAAGTAGCCCTAGTGAGGAATAGTTTAAGAACAACCAAAAGTCAAATTTTGGGGTTGTGGGTGATAAGGTGATCACTGGATGATTTCTTAGATGAGAGACAAAGTTTTCGTCCCTTTCCCCCTTTAATCATCTCTTTTTAATGCAGTCTGAGTGGCATTTGCTGCACATTTAGGTTGCCATGCAGCAAGTAATCTGCAGTAGGCAGAGGGAGGGATGCTCAGGGACAAGCGTTGCTGTACAGCAGTCTTTTCGGCTCGCACTGTGTGTTCATGTATCACCAAGCTTCAGCTGGAGATCTCAGCAAAAATATCAAAGATAAGGAGGCTCAGAGTTTGGGCTGAGGTCATGAAGACCATATCCTGAGTTAGACACTAATCAGAATGGAATTAAGAAAATTGCCACTGTGTTCAGTTCTATCTATTGTCTCAGAGGAAACTTGCTTTGAACTCAGGGAGCGGGTCACTTGGGAGGCAGCTGCAGGGAACTCAGCAGCCTCTCTCCTGGCCTCTTTCCAGATAATAAATCCAACAGCAAAATCCACTCAAATTCAAAATCAGTCTTGCTTCCTAAAACCATATGAAAGTAAGATACATTGATCATTCCTATGAGTAACCCTAAAGGATTTGCGTTTGTGGGTAGATTACTTCATCTAGAAAGAAAAATTGCCATTTTATATAAAAGAAAGATAAAATAGAACAGAAAAGCACATTTTCAGGTTTTACTTAGGATAAAACCAATTCCATTTGGGTCCAAAAATAATTGTGCTAAAAAAGCCTCAAGAATTTATGCCTCATATCTTTGGGTCACTTTTGATTTTCGTGCTGCACACACACACACAAGTGTAGAAAATGGAAACAGTAAATCTCTTGTGTCCATGGCTGCACCCTCCCGTGCTCTGTCTATGAACACAAAACTACAGCTCCCCAGAGCACTTTCCTGAACCCTCTTTGCCTCTTCCGCCTCCCCATCTGCTCCTGTGGCACCCTAGGAGAAAGCTGGCAGGGCAGAAGGCTGGCTTAGCACCTCTCTAGGGCCAAGTGTTGCAGGCCCTCCCAGTTCCTGCCCCTGAGCTTTACAGCCTTTCCTTTCCAACACTCGCTAATTCAGAAGCTGCCCATTTCCTATGGCCAGCCCCTCTAGCTGCATTGTGAAAAAATCTAAACACAAGGATCACATGTCAAATATTCACTTAATACAGTCAATCTATGGTTGTAATTCTCAGGTTCTACAAACCAACTGTGGACTGAAAATATTTGAAAAAAATAATTGTCTCTGTATTAAACATGTGTAGGCTTTCTTCTTATCACCCCCTAATCAATATAACAAGTATTTATATAGCATTTACATTATATTAAGTGGTATAAATAACCTAGGGATGATTTGAAGTATGCAGGAGAATATGTATAGGTTATACGTGCAAATTCAAGCCGTGTTTTTAAAGGAACTTGAGCATCTAAGAATTTTAGTGTCCAGGCAGGCCCTGGAGCGGTGCACCCCCTGGAAACTGAGGAGCAACTGTATCAATAACCCCATCCCACCACAATCCCTGTATGCACTTGGCATTGTTTATCAAAGATGAGATGAAGAATTTTAGTGAAATGAATCAAGGGAATTCAGGGTCAAAAAGGAGATTAACCTGAAAGAGTCAACCCACTCAGACAGTTGACATGTGAGAAACCAAAACCACAGAGTTGCCACAGCCCTTTCCTCTGTGGCTCATGAATAAGACCTTGTACTCTCTGAGGCTCCCCTTTCTGTGGGACCAGACAGAGGGCCTGGGGACTGACTCATCTGGTAAGGTGAGGGCTCTGTGTTTTCCATTAGATGTTGACTCAGTCCATTAGTGCCTCTGAGTAAACCTTGAGCTTTCTAAATGTTTCTAGTGACTTACTGATGGGTGCATGCTAGTTAGAAAAGAGTAAGATAAATATGTTACTATGCTATTAAAGTTTAGACATTAACAACACACACACACACACACACACACACACACACACACTGTTTTTTAAAAGTTCTCGCAGGAATACACTGGAGACTACAGGCCTCCAGGCACTCAAAGGGTAAATTTAGCCAGACACCCAAGCTCTAGGCTAGATAGAGCACACGGGCAGGATTAGGCTCATCTTAGAGGGCACAGTGACATGTCACTATGTGCCTGAGGGCTTTAGCCAGGTATTTGTGTTGAGACATTCATACACACTTGAAAAGTGCTCATCCTTGTTTTCAAATGTGGTTTTTCATCCTGATTGAAAGAAGCCATGTCCCCAGCCCAAGGTCTCAAATGCTCCAAACCTGTCTGGCCCACAGATGCACACTGAAGAGTCTTTTGAGAACATTCCTAACCCCCAAGTCTACTAAGTCTTTGCCTGCTGTGGCCAGGATTGCTGCCAGGCATTCAAAATGAGAAGCAAGCCCCATTTTGTGAGCCATGTTCTTCAGAGAATGTTGTGTGCTGGTCCTCAGCTCTTCATGCCCTGGGTCTTCTTGTCTGATCCAACAAATAAAAAAATAAATAAATAAATTCCTGGGCACAGGCATCTGCAATGGCATCTCTAGGGACATGCTGGGACAGATATGGGTGGGCCTTTCTGAAAGGCACAGCCTACTAAGATGCTCCCTTAGGGTCTTGGGATCTCCCTAAGCTTCCCCAACTCATGCTCTCGATCAGCACACACTTGCCTCTCCTCTGTGCTGGGAGATCGCTGCTCCCCAGCCTCAGCTTCATACAGTGTTTTGAGTTTGTGGGAAGGTGTAGAGGGCTGTACTGATATGATACAGAATCTTCCCAGGGGGAGTCGAATAGAGATTCATGTACATGAAGACCTGTTTAGTCCATGTAGTTCCTGACCAGGCAAGAAGAGAATAAAGAAGAGTAAATGATAACTATAATATATTCTCTAATCAGTGCCTTACCGCTCTTCTAAAGTTGAGCTGAAATTAAATTGATGTTTACATTTTTTATTAAATGCACATGAGTTGTGAATAGTCAGCATATTCTTGTCCAAAGGGAGAGGCTTTCAAATGAATTCTTATTCTTCCTGGTTCCCTCCACCCATCCTGGAGGTCTAAAAAATATTGCCACTCAATTACTCCCTTCAAACTTCTTTCTCTCTTTCAAATAAGCTATCACTGAAACATTAAATGAACTGAGGTGTCATTTGCTTTCAAATAAATGTCAAAAATACTAATAGTTCTGTAAACCAGTGAATCCTCTATCTATTGCCCATTGTACATGGTCCTTACAACACTGCCAAGATGGATTTTCAGATATATCTGGTTAGTACATTAATGCAACCATTAAAAATAATTGGGAGATGGAAGATTATATTGTTTCTGGAGCAACTGTATTTGCAGCTGCCATGAAACTAAATAAATGGATTTGACTGGAATTATTTTTCAATCTCATAAGCCCCAGGAATTACATGCAGAGTGGGTTGGAAGGCAGATGAGCATCTTGTGTGATAGCAAAGATCTTTTTTCTTTCTATTAATTGTTTAAGTTTTAAAAGAAGTTCAGTTTTGATGATAAACATTAACAAATAGCTCTTAACTGACCTGGAGAGTTTAAGATTTGTGATTAAATCAAGGAGCCACCTGGTATACGCAAGGAGGCATGGTGTTGAGGCTCCAAATGAATGGAGACGCAAGGGTGGGAGGGGGATCAGAGCCTCGCTCACCTCTGGCCCTGAACATTCTGAACTGGTCTTTCGCAATAGTCAAATATTTGGGCATGAAAACAAAAACGAGACTCATTTTCAACTCAGGGCATTCAAAGCCCTGAATCAGAGAAATGGTGAACATGTGCACAGAAATTTCATGTTTCAGAGAGATGTATGCTAAACTGCCTTTCATGTCTTAATCAATGTTTTCACAACTGATCTCAAATCTGAAATGAATTAAGAAAGCATTTTCCTCCTTCAATAAAAACTGCTAATGACATAAAATGTAAACCTCAGTCTTTCCGGGAGATACTGTAAAGTGAACAGCCACAGAGAAGAGAAGGATTGACTTCCACTCAATCCAAGGCCACTGTACAGACACCCGTGTCAGAAGAAAGTGGATTCAAGAAAAATGTGTCTTGTAACCCCAGTATCCAGGTTGGTTTCCTACCACAGCAGGTCTCAGCTTTTTCAACTCATGACTGATTTTAGGGCAATGCAGAAATTCAAACTCCCTAACCCATTTGCTCTGTGTTACACTTTCTAACACACACACACACACACACACACACACACACACACACTCCAACCCCAACAAAACCAGATAGGCTATTTGGCCACTAGTAACAAAATGCCCAAATAATAGTGGCTTAAATAGATAGCTCTGTTTTCTGTCATGCAAAATAAGTGGAGAGGTAGGTGACCCAGGGCCAGTGTGTTAGCTCTACAACATCATCAGCGTAGGAACAGATTTCATCATCTCTACAAGAGAGCTATTGCAGCTCCAGCCATCTATTTACAGGAGGAAAGCAGAGAAAGGGGATGGAGTAAGATGGGTGCAAACACTCAAGAATTCAGGCTTGAAAGAGCC